TATATATATATATATATATATATATATATATATATATATATATATATATATATATATATATATATATATATATATATATATATATATATATATATATATATATATATATATATATATATATGTACAAGTATATGTATATATATTGAATACATATTTAGTTACGAAAATACTTATGAATGTGAACAAACACACTTATGAATGTGAACACACACCTCGTCTGCCTTCCACACACCTGCCATCATCTCCACCCATGCTTGGCCACATTTCCCTACCTGCACCCGCTCGGTCTGTCACAGCCATGCACTGAGGATGGATCTGCGTCGACTGCACTTTCATCCGATATGCACACCACCCTATCATTTTACCACTCCTGCCTGACTGGCGTCGCGTATTAATACGCCCAGGTTGCCATGACAACCGACTGTTGATACTCAATGCACGGACTGGCGGTATCCTGCACACGCACACATTCGCCAACGCAATCAAGACAGGAGTCGTCGTCATCCGGACCAGCCCCCAAAGCTACCACGAATTTGTATGCGTACGGATGATCCTTTCTGAGGGGGGTGTGTGTGGGGTGCCCGGGGGGTGGGGAGGGGGGAGTATGGGAGTTTTTACACACCTTTTTAACTCTATTTGGGTTTGTAAAACTATCTATATATTTCAGTATTCGGGTTACTGCTGCTAGTAGCTGGCCTGTGTGCAGCTAAGTAGTTGTCGTATTTTTATAACAGTGACCCGGTATTGGAAAGTTCTATACTTTCATCTGCCGTGTCAACTCGGTTGCGCAATCTCACGCAATGAATGGCGTACAATCTTTGCCTCACTTCAACCACTCTTCACTATTAATAAACCGACACCAACGCCTGTCGTCCTAAACGTCTTCTACCTAGATTTTTTTTGGTCTCAGTCTGGGACATTGTTGTGTGGGATAGAGTTTGTATATTCCTGTTTTTGAATGCATAGTTTCAGACCAGCTACTGACCAGTTGGTAGTTGGTAGTTAGTTTGATTTATTTCTTCTGCTAAGCTCAGAAATATTGACTGCAGCACCGACGAACCCCAATTCACCAACGCATACACTCACCGAGCCTTGATTGTCCATCAGAATTACACCCACGCGCAGTAGCACACACATTCAAAATCATTCCTTTATGCACAGGTGCTTACTTCCACATACCGGCACACACACGTCCCATCCCACACGAACGCATATCCGTCTGCACTAATGTACGGTTCATCTTGAATCATTCACAGCGGTGTGTGGGCTGTGCTATGCATGTCGACACTATCGGCATGCGTCGACTAGGGCACACGCATAACCATTGGCGTATACACTCAGCGTTTCAGATGTATATACAGATGCCAGAACACACACAAACATGCGCACCAGCTTCTCCCGTGCAATATATGAACACTATATAACACCAGCTATGAGGCTATGCACGTAGCCACCAAAGTACACACGCCGAGGATGAATCAATCGATGCACACACACACATGTTCATCAGAGTATACACTCGACTATCCTCAGATAGACGGTACACTATAGGGCACGCACGCGTACACCATTTCACTATAGTACAAACCACAGAGTTGTGTGGGTGGCCATATCAGAACACTCACCCACACCCATAACGTGCACATGCTCACCAATTCACCATACAGATACACACACTACCAACCAAACGACGGATATGCCTACCTCTCTAAACACACACCTCGCGTCTACCCTTCATAGGGCTGTGTTGGTAGCCATGACGGTACACTCTACTCGGTGGACGTGCTCACTGGGTGCATTGCGGGGTCAGTCTCGTGTGGAGGCCCCATCCGTGCAACACCAACTGTAGGTAGGCATATAAAAATGGGTATGCGTATCTCTGGGGCAAATAGATAGGTGTAGGTAGCCCTGGGCATAAGGTTGGGTGTAGATAGCTCTAGCTGGGTTCAGCGGCAGGCGTAACTGTGACTCTGTGAGTGACCTATTGGTCGTCGCCTTGTTTGTTACCAAGCATGCGTTGCCACTGATACTTGCAGTGCCAGCAAACCAAGACCCGTACTACAATACTTTCTATTCTGCTTTCTATCTGTCTATAATACCTTCTATAGTACTCTCTATAATGCTATCAACAATACTTTCTATAATGCTTTTTAAATCTCTATAACAATTTCTATAAGACTATATCACTTTCTATATTATATTCTATAATACTACCTAAAGTACTTTCTATACTACTTCCTGAACACTTTCTATAATAATTTATACATTGCTTTCTATAGTACTCTACAATATTTTCTATAGTACTTTCTGAACACTTTCTATAATACTCGATATAGAACTTGCTATATTACTCTATAATATTTTCTGTATTACTGTCTGAACACTTTCTATAATACTCGATATAATACTTGCTATATTATTCTCTATAATACTTTCTATAATACTTTCTGAACACTTTCTATAGTACTCCATATAATACTTGCTATAATTATCTCTATTATACTTGCTATAATACTCTCTAATATACTTTCTAAAATACTTTCTATAACACTCTCTATATTACTTTCCATAATACTTTCTATATTTCTTTCTATAATACTTTCTATAGTACTCTTTATAATATTTTCAATATTACTTTCTATTATACTCGCTATAATACTCGCTATAATTTTTGCTACAATACTCTCTATGTTACTTTCTATAATACTTTCTGTAATACTTGCTATAATACTCTCTATAACACTTTCTATTTGAATAAATAATTATCGTTTGTCGTTCATGTTCCCACACTCCCAACAGATCCGCAACGGGCGCGCGTGTATGTGACGACGCTGACTGGCGATCTACTGTGTCTCGGCTTCAGGTCATCTGCCACGTCATCTCACTCAGACCCAACATTGTCCTGTGCACCTGTTTTTAAAGTTATTTGGACAGTACTATGGACCTTTAAGGCAGACGACAGGCCCATTTTCACCTCTCCGGGTAAGTGAGTACACAAGTATTGGCTGGTGGTAGTGTGTTTGTATTGGTGTATGGTGATTGGCTGTGGTTGCTACGTGTATGTGTATCATGGCTCCTCGTGGTACAGACATGAATCGATCGAGTTCGCTCTATTCTCTTGAAAGGGCGGCAGAGGTCGGTGTCGCAGATCAAAAGAACGATGACTTTCCGAATTGCTATGCTCAAGTGGCTGTAATTCAGCACTCACTCGTGGCATCGATTTCGATCGAAAGCGTTGGAGTGCACTTTCGGTGGCTACAAAGCTTACAACAATCTTGCGCATCATAGAGGAATTTTCCTGTTCAACAATACCAATACAATTTTCAGGACTTTACGTCCCGGGTTTTTTTTGGGTAGGACAGAGAGTACATCCGGACAAGAGTCAGTGCTACATTCATTCCTTACCTACCACTCCATTGCTTTCATCAGCTTCTCATACGCATTCAATTCATCTCTCAAACACTTTCAATAGCATTGTGTTCAAATGGCCTACTGGTCATAACCGTTAGCGGCACCGCACACATGGTTGACTACAGCGGCGTAGAGGTAGGCTGTTGGCTTGACCTGTGGGGCAACCTCAGTGGATGCGAACAAGTGACTGAACTGGCGCTCAACTTGTTCGATCAAAACGTGCAACGACTTTTGTTTATATGTGATGCATGGTTTCGTAGTTTGGAAACCAACAACGTTGAGGTGTACTAGTGCGTACGTACAAGTGTTGCTTTGTACATGTGTGTGCGTCTGTACTGATTGGACCTCAAGTGTTGGCATGTTTGTCTGTCTATATATGCACCACTGGTTTAGTAAAGTGGGGTGTATGTGAATCCGCGCGCGTGTGTATGTGGTTGTGAGTTATTTGATCATTCATATTGAACCCCAACATTCGAACGGCATTTAATATTATAACTACCAAGTACGTGCACGCCTCCATCATCCATACAATCACTATACCAATGCTTGTACCTTACACTCAGCGTGTCATGCAGACCATACCAATGCTTGTACCTTACACTCAGCGTGTCATGCAGACCATACCAATGCTTGTACCTTACACTCAGCGTGTCATGCAGACCATACCAATGCTTGTACCTTACACTCAGCGTGTATTGTCAGTAAATATGTACTGCGCAGCTCATCCGCAGACACCTGATTGTTATCACTCAACCCCAGACTCCTAATAGTTATCAAGTACACACACGCCCCCATCATTCATACACGCTCACACAGACCATAAACATTCTCGTACCTTACACTGACACTCAGGTGTGGCGTAGGGTCCTTGACGTGCCTGTGTACAGTTCTCCCGTGGTACTGCACACAGCCACCGCTCACGAGTGCGCCGTCTTTGGTGCGCATGATGGCCACCTGCGCTGCTTGGCCATGCCGCATGGCTACCTTCTGAGTAGTGTGACGTATGTCTGTATGTAGATACGTTGTAACTGTGTAGGTGATTCTCCTATTTTCATAGAACCGTGACGTACAAACAGATGTGGGTAGACAATGCGAATAGGATGTGTGGGCGATAAGTCAGCGAAAGCAAACTGCAGAATAGAGATGCGTCTGTAGGTACGGAGTAGGTAGCATCGGTAAAGGGTACGTTTATACTCTATAGGTATAACAATGAATGTGGGTGCGCTGTCAGACCTGTGTTGCGATAGCTGTCGTTTTGTACTTGGGTACTGTATTCACTGCATGTTGTGCTATAGTGTTTAAATGGCTCTATTCAAACATGCATACTTAATACTTAGATGATTCTCTCATACTGCATGTTGTGCTATAGTGTATAAATGGCTCTATTTATACATGCATACTTAATACTTAATATTTAGATGATTCTCTCATACTGCATGTTGTGCTATAGTGTATAAATGGTTCTATTTATACATGCATACTTAATACTTAATATTTAGATGATTCTCTCATACTGCATGATGTGCTATAATGTCTAAATGGCTCTATTCATACATGCATACTTAATACTTAGATGATTCTCTCATACTGTATGTTTGTGCTATAGTATCTAAATGGCTCTATTCATGCATGCATACTTAATACTTAGATGATTCTCTCATACTGCATGATGTGCTATAGTGTCTAAATGGCTCTATTCATACATGCATACTTAATACATATATAGTTCTCTGATACGGCATGTATGTGTGCAACATCATAGCGGTATACGGTTCTTGTTTTAAATCTGCCGTGGGTATACTATTTAGCTCTATTATTTGGTAGGTATTTGCTTTGTATACTCGGTATGCTGAATTGATGGCGTTGCTGTGTTTGGTTTGTTGTACAACTCGGTCTCAGACTTACAGAAATACTGTATATATAATATCCAACAAATGAATGTAAACACTCCTCGGTCTCAGACTAGCAGTAATAGACATTATATCCAACACATGAATGTGCGGCGGACCTTGGTCTCCGGCTTACCGACATATATATAATATGCAACAGATGAATGTGTAGTTATTCTGCCGGTTTGAAGTCAAAGCTCTTTGCAACGATTCACCTACGCAAGTGCTTCTAGCTTCAAAGAGACCTCATGCATATTCGTTGTCTTTCGACTGCCCAGAACGCGAGATGGAGTGTACGCTCAAGTCGCCTCAATCGAGAGCCAATCAGAGCGCAGAGAACTATTCGTAATTGCCATGGATGGCACAATTCTCGGCTATTCCATTGGTCCAGATGGTATCTGCCACCCCACTGGTTCGCTAATGACACTACCAGCACAAGTATTCTCATCACCTGCCTTAGTGAGCGATGCTAACGGAGGTAATAATTCGAGTTGACCCCAGTTGAGTGTTGTATGTTATATCTGTGGTCCATACGCTGCCGGTCACCCTTGGACTTGCGTAATACGTCTCCATGCCATAATGACACTATGGTGATTGTTTTATTTGATCATATATATATATATATATATATATATATATATATACCTACATACATACATACATACATCTATATATATATATTTATACACATGTCTTTGACTATAGTGGTCGCACCCCATAGTCGTACTTGTATATTTTATATATATATATATATATATGTATTGCATGTGTGGTGTATATTCAACCTAATTAATATATTTATTGTTAAGTATTGGTGCCAGTCTCACTGGTGATATGAACCAACGTCTGTCAGGGTGGCCTGATAAAATACGTAAAATAGTTTGCAGAAGCGGGAGCTGTATATGGCATGATATAAACGTCACAAATTCATTTGCCACTTGATTGGCCCTGAATGGATGGTGTGATGTTGTACCGAACATCTCAATAGGTTAGTCAAGTAGCACTAGTGGCAGGCGAGTGTGCCTTCGCATCATAGCCTACTGTATGTACATGCGTCGTATTCACATATCTGTGTTGTGTATACTTGTATTCATGCACGAATGTACCTTTGCCGTGCTACGTCCGACCAATCAACCGTACGTACCCATCGATGTGCATCCTCGCGGATCGCTACGTCGTCAAGCCTGCGTAGAGCTCCGCACACGTGTCCACACGCAAATGCATGAGCGTCGTGCATCCCTTCACCTACATCACATAACACGCCCAATATTTACATGCACACACTGCACGTTGTGTCGTTCAGGGGCTATGCGGCTACTAGTGGGCTGTCGGGACAACTATCTCTACTGTCTCTCAGCCACAGAAAGAACATCCCCTCCCCCTACCCGGTGCCAAGGCTAGATATCAGGGCCTATAAACCCTAAACCCTAAAACATACAGGGCCCCACTACCGATACGTTTATCGGAACAAATAGTAATAAAGCTGCTTTGTCGCAGTGATGGGTAGTGTGGCTGTCAGCGGATTTCTGGGGATCGCGTACATACACACCGCGAGAATACAGGATTCCTCCCTGTGGCTGAGATAGGTCTCCATGTGCACCTGACATCTGTGCGGCCAATTATTATTTGGAGATGTCCAAACAAGTTCGTTTTCCGATTCAAATCAGTGATTGAAACGTAGGATAGGGTTTTAAGGGATCAAGGTTTAGCTAAACCCTCGGAATACGGGACACATACCGGTTCAATTCTCGACAGCAACCCAGTCATAGTCTCGGATAAGATCACGACCGTGCTTCAGCTCGACCAACCAAGTGTACCACAGATATATTAAACGTTGGCATGCACCGTGCCATGGTATACGACGCGACAGTTGGGCAAAAACTCATTTTGGGCCTTTTAACTAATCTGTAAAGGGTCTTAAATAGGGGAAACGGGCATTTTCTGGCGACGGACAAGAAGTCGGTGATAATGTCAATAGGGACTTCAGACTACATAGGAGTCAGGGGCATATTTTTTCTGAAATTGGGCAAATTAATTGGAGAACGCCAACGGGGACTCCAAGGGGGTCTACAAATAGGCAAAATGCGTTACGGATAGGAAATGTCTGGGTGTGATTGATAGCGCTGTATGCCTGCCGAATCCATGCTTGCTTGAATTTATAACAACAATAAAATACTTTATTAGAATAATACACACATTGCACCATCTATTCACTGCTTTAAATTTAAAACAACAATAAAATACTTAGAATAACACATTTATTTGCACCATCTATTCACTGCTTTGTGTGACTTGACGTGCGATAGTTATATTTATTGATTGCGACACATGTTATGACACAGTGTGGCTGCTATTGAGCCCAGCTGTACTTTAACGGCCCATTCACATTCACACGTCGCTGTGACACGCTAGCGTTGCTGGCTGTGTGCTGGTGCGTCTTGTTGATGACCCAGAACGGCTAAGATCATAGTGTCCACCAACACATAGGCCAAGTGCTTGTTCATTTGCTTGTTTTGAAGCGTGTTGAACACCTGCGTTGATGTTGTTGCATTCACAGTTAGCGTGTAGTCGTAAGGAGATGGTTGAGTGCTGAGTGATGGGGTCCTTTTGTTCGCACTGCGCCTGCGGAGAGGTTGTATGTCTTGGCAAACTAATCACAGACTAATCACAAGCTGAATATACACTAATCACATATTCATCACAGACTGATTACAAAGTAATCATAAACTAATCACAGACTAATCACAGGCTAATTACAAAGTAATCACAAATTAAACACAGACTAATCACAAACTAATCATAAAATAATCACAGACTGATTACAAACCAATTATAAACTAATCGCAAATTAATCACAGACTAATCACAAACTAGTCATTAACTAATCACAGACTAATCACAAGCTAATTATAAACTAATCACAAATTAATCACAGACTAATCATAAACTAATCATAAACTGATCACAAACTAATTACAAACTAATCAGGAGCCATACTTGTGGAGTGGGATGGTGATGTACGTGCACATGGAAAACACATCAATGGAGGGATTTGTACATGGTAGCAGATCAATCGACTTGGTCTTACAAGCCTACATAGGTACGGGTTCGCACGTCTGTAAGGCGAACTAAGAGATACATGCGCAACGCGACATACGAGACATACGTGCGTTTGTGATAAACATGGTATCGTGAGATGCATTTGCACAGACTAGAGGGCAGCCAAAGTGCACACGTATGAGATATACATACATATAAGCCCATGGACACACAAACACAAATGGACCCGTATCTACCTACACAAAGCATCCAACATCCACGCAAATACGTATGTAGTAGTAGGTATGCAAATACATTCATCTGTACAAGTGCTTGTTCTCAATCTCACGCCAACAACATACAGACACGCCAAGACAGATAACCACAACATCTGCGAGGTGTATAATGGATGCAGTGATACAGTGTCCTCTATAACACTGACATGTCTCTCATATTCTCACATAGTGTATTGCGCGCAAGTAATATCGCAAATACGCGTTAAGATGAGTGCACACACTCGCCCCTACACCTTCCACACTCCACACAAAGTACGCCCGCACACAAACACACGCACATATACACATACACATACACACAGACACACATGCACACACCGACACCGACACCGACACCGACACAAATACAGACACAGGCATAGACACAATACACACCCACCCACCTTAGTGAAGCCCATAGTGCAGTTGTATCTGCCCACCATGCCCTCTACAACGTCAGGGATGGTGGCCATCATAGCCTCCTGTGCTGCGTTGCGCGTGTCGTCTATCTCTTGCGGCGTGCGCACGTGTGTGGGTGCGAGGATACCATTGGGCCAGAAGGACTCGCGCAGCACGGTGATGCAGTACTTCAGTTGTTGCAAGGAAAACAGCTGGTTGACGTTCTCTTGAATCTGTGAGGGGGGGGGATGTGAATAAATCCGTATGAGTATGCGCATGTGTGTGCATACGGTGTATGCATTTGCAAGTGTAAGTGCAAGTGTAAGTATATATATATATATATATATATATATTTATATATTATATATTTATATATATATGTGTGTGTGTGTATGTGTATGTGTATGCACGTACATGTGTACTTATACGTACATATGTACGTGTTCGTATTTGTGTACGTGTATGCGTATGCGTATGTATATGCATTGAAAAGTGAATCGGCAACAAGAAGGCAATTGACCTCCTCGCCACTAGGCAATTGACCTCCTCGCCACTAGGCTCGTCCCATGCACGGACAGCATATACCTCTGCATTATCCCAGTTCACCCTTATTCTACTTACCTAAGCCTTTCCACTCCAAATGTATCCACATATATCCCATTATATTTTTCAGCGAATACTCAGGACCATTCAATTCATTCAATCTACCGAGTCTATCTTACACTTCTCAAGTATCATGCATAGCCCCCAGTCATCGCCGCACACACACCGTTTTGTTGATGGACGCCCCATGCACACTGTGCAGCACGCCTGTCATAACCGACACAGCTTTGCGTCTGAGCCATTTGTTGCGGGAATTGAGCTCGAAGATCTGTGGTATGATGTGTAGCGACAAACACGCACGTTGATATGCATCCGACGGATGGGGTGTAGGAGCGAAATGCTTGTGATGAGTGTACGAGTGGACTACTGCAATGAGGTGTGTACAAAGAATTAACTCAACCGAGCTCAAAGATATGTAGTATGTAGCGACAAACAACTCTCACACACTCTCTCCCACATGCATTACCTCATCAATCAGTGCAAACATGATATCCGTCCACATAGACCCGTCTTCCTTCTGCGGTGGCTGCAGTGGTGTTTGCTGAGAGCTCTTGCGATACGCCCCATTGGGCGGACTACCGTGTGGATCCAGGTGCGATGTGCGAGGCGTGGAGGTGGCAGACCCTGGCATGGATATAGGGTTTAGGGTTTAGAGTTTAGGGTATTGGGTTTTATATGCGGATATGCGCAATGCATAGATACTGTCAGCCGTTCATGCATAAACTTCATGCGAAATCATCAAGAATACGGAGAACCATCTTCAAGTACGTATCAAGTGACTTAATATATAATCCCGCCCACGTGTGCGTATAGCCACCATACTAATATGTATACCTACATGTCCACATATATATTGACACACATACATATACCCAACATGTGCAACAGTCATAGGAGGAGAAGGCTTGCCACAAATTCTTTCTAAGCATCAGACGACCGGCTGCTCAGATTGATCACGACCACTGTTAACTGTTGACTCTTAACTGTTAGCTGCTAACTATTAAATGTTAGCTGTTAACTGTTAACTATTAACTGCCGTTGACTGTTAACTATGAGCCATGCTTTCCCGCTGTTGAATGCAATCGCGTTCCTGGGCCCGGTAATGCGGTATCAGATCAAATGAAAAGAAGACGTACACACATTCGCACGCACAGTATACAGCACAACACTGCGACCACAGCTCCCGAGTGGCCCTGGTGCGCCTGTGAGTCTGCCCTGAGTGTCTGATAAGTGGTACCTGGCTGGGACTGTGCACTGGGTTTCGAGTTGCTGTCCGTGCTGAGTTTGGACTGAGGTGGATGGTCTGTGTGGTGTATATGTGCGAAGGGAGTGGCCATAAGGCGAAGTGAAGTGAGTCTTGGGTGGAGGAGAGAAGACGTTAACGCATTGAATGACTGAGCACTGTGACGGGACGTGCGGTGTAGTACGGGAGAGGGAGGCACACGCATACGCTACAGTACATATGTAAGTAGAGCACACGCAGCCGCTACAGTACATATGTAAGTAGAGCACACGCAGACGCTACAGTACATATGTAAGTACTTGGCATTGATGTAGATAGAGATGTAGAATCGAATAGAGGTTGCGCATGAGTTTATGATAAACATACCTATCAATATGCATGTTCCACCAAACGTATAAGCAAACGACGAGATTATGCGGAGATGCAAGTCAAACTTATATACGCATACACATATTACACTTCCTTGCGTCTGGGAAAACTCAACAAGCCCAGACTCCGCGTATATGGTGTCTTCACTTAACACTACAACACATCGTCGCTGAGCCAGGGGAGGTACAACCATTCTGTGACGGCTATCGGTAATCATAACAGACACAAACACAGAAGTCAATACATTACATAGTGAGATACAACAATTCTGTGATGGACATAGACGAGCCTATCCGCAATCGTACTAAAAACAGTCTATACATTACATAGTAAGGTACAACCATTTTGTGATGGAAATAGACGAGCCTATCCGCAATCACAACAGACACAAACACAGAAGTCTTTGCATTACATAGTCAAGACCACCCACTGCGCAGCGATGCGTGCAGTCGCAGTGCAGCAGTTGCATGTGTAGTATACACACCTGTCGCAGGAGAGGTCTTTGGTGGTTTATTCGATTCGGACTTAAAGAACCTGTGCAGCACAGACAGTGCATGAGTAGTCCGCGATTGCTTCCAGTTTTAGGGTTTAGGGGTTTAGAAATATAAAACCCTATTGCCGAATAAACGTATTGATTCGCTTCACATGGCTACCAACTTCGAACATGAGACCGTACGTTGTTCGTTGTGTATGCGGGTCTGTGCTTGTATGTGTGTGTATGTTTAATTATGAATGTATACATGCGCACGTATATTTATGCATGTATGAGTGTGCATGCATGTGAACATACGGTATAAACTTTAACTGAAGACACACACACGGGGAAATTACAAATGAAAATGATGAGAAATCTCAATTGGTTGTGCAAAGCCCATATTCGCATGTACCACATATCTCAAGAGTGTGTTAATGTATTCACACATGAATGAATTGCGAGTATCTAACAAAACACATTCATCATATCGAGTTATCACTATA